CTTGCCTAGCTAGGTAAACCCTAGCTATGGCTCCTCAGTATACTTACTCTCTCAACAGAAACGCCGTCTTGTGGATCGAGTTGTCCGCCATCTTGATCTGCCAGTAACCCGACCGTAGGTCTAGCTTCGAAAAGACAGCTGCACCACGCAGTTGGTCCAGTAGGTCGTCTATGCGCGGTATGGGGTATTTGTTTTTTACTGTCTGTTTGTTCAGTGCACGGTAGTCGATGCACATCCGTAAACTGCCGTCTGGTTTTGGGGTGAAGAGAACTGGTGCACCGTAGGGAGAGGTGGATGGGCGGATCAGTTGTCTGTCTAGTAAATACTCTATCTGCTTCTTCATGTCTGTCAGTTCGGTCGGACTCAATCGGTCTGGTGCACGGGAGACGGGTTTCGCACCTGGTTCCTCCACGATCTCGTGCTCGTGGGTGCGTGCTGGAGGTACGCCTGCGGCCAAGACCTCCTTCACAGTGACAGGTAGCTCTGAACTCAGCTTCTCCTCCTCTGCTACTGCTATGACCGGAGGCTGCCATTCGGACGTCGGCGTCTCTCGCATTCGGATTGAACGTCTCCGGTAGCCTCGGACGTGCCGCCTCAAGATTCACTGTAGCTGCTGCCGCTGCTGCTGGGTGAAGTGTCGGTGTCGCTGCTGCTGCTGCTACCGTCGCTGCTGCATTCGCTGCTAGGTTTGCTGCTGCTGTGACGGTTGCCGACTGGTTCGCGAGAAGCTCCTCTACTCGCTGGAGTGCCGCTCGCATCTGGTCCAGGTCGGTGCGTAACTCCGTAATATTTCGTCCGGAATTATCACCGTTTTCCTCCCTTAGGCGATTTACAAGAAGATTTGCGACAGAAATATAATTAAAATCTAGGCGTTGGTCGACTTACTGCGAATCAGATCGACTGTAGAAATGTCGAGCGCTGTTTCTGCTAGTCGCGTAATTCTCCCTTAGCCGAAATTCGCGTCAGATCTCGGCCGTTGAGCTGAAATTCGATCCGACGCCCCAAATTCCAATTATTTTGGGCGAAATTCTCAGGGTCGTTGGTGTTCAAATCGATCCGACGGTTGAAATCCCATTTTTTTTTTCCAATGGACCTGAAGAGGATTCGAAAACTGGTTCAAGGGAGGCTTTAAAAAATAGCGCGGAACTTATTTACATACCCGAAATCGGCGCTTTCGTCGTCGCCCCCGCGGTTTTAAAAGCTAGGTTTCAGTAGTCGAAGAACTCGCGTGTAAACAGGCTCTGATTATCTGGGTACAATACGAGGCTATATATAGGCTCGACACAAGGCCTAGTAACCAGGTGTTACGCGAAGGTTCTGAGGGTCGCGAAGCGTCCAAAACATACCCTTCCCGAATTCGGTAGAAGGCAATTCGGTGGCAACCGAAAAGCCTAGAATTCGGTGTACGCAACCTAGTTCGGTGCCTATAACTATAATAACTATAGTAAAAGCAACGAACCTAGGAAATCAAGCAAAAGCAAGCAAAGCAAAATAATGCTAAGCTAGATAATGCATAATAAAGTCCAGGCAAGCTAGCAAAGCCAGCATAAGCCGTCGTACTCTCACAACGCTACTATCCAGGTTGATACGGTAATACTATAGCTTTCGGGTCTGAGCTTCGCCGATGCGCTGTTAACCGAGTAAACGCCTGGGTCAAGAGAAATCAATAAATTTTACCATTGTTGTCCTCGTAGATCCTCGATCTTTTTGCGTGCTATTTCATCATCCCGCTTTTTGTCATAGTAGAACAGTACCGAAGCCCTCCCCCCCCCCCCCCCCCCCCCCCCCCCCCCCCCCCCCCCTTCACCCACCCACTTTTTGTTTTCTTCTTCTTCTTTTTCCCTGTACAGCTCAGCGTCGTATGAGTCGTTTACGAGCCTTGGTTTCTATCGTCGCCTACGCCCCACTCCTTTTGAAGTCCTTTATAGCCACCTCGTTTTCCATGGTAGCTCGTAAGTGTTTGCGGGTCGAAAGTCACGTCTGCCCACATGCGCTTCTGCGGAATATGCCGCATGATTCGGTGAATCTCGCTGCTGACTTTTCCTTGACAGAAACCCAGCCACTAACCACTGGGATAAAAAGGCTTGTTTGTGTAGTGGGTGAGTGCGGCCATAACCCTCAGGCCGACGTGCCTGTAACCTTTCTCTTGGATCAATCGGGGTTCTCAAACGGACCTCTAACACCCCTTCCCGCACTGGGATGTCCGAGGTGCATACACCAGGATTCAAACCCGAGACCTTCACTCTGATACTATGTCAAAATCCCATCCACTAACCACTAGAATAAAAGGGCTTATTTGTATAGCGGGTGAGTGCGCCCATAACCCCCCAGACCGACGTGCCTGTAACCCTTCCCTATAATCAATTAGGGATCTCAAGTGGATCTCTAACATTCCTGACTATATTCCTTTCCTTCAACAGTAGCTATGACATGCTGACACAGGTTGATTGCCACCAGTTGACGAAGATTATTCAGAGAATCTCGCACGCAAGTTGACGGTGAGCCACCGACGTTAACTGTCGCATACAGACGACTCCAAGATTTTCGTAGAGATGCCTGCGCAGGTCCGTTGCTATAGAAGTTAACATCTGAAATAGTCAGAACGCCGCGGAAATTTATACACATCTGGAGATGGACAGCTATAAGTTTTAATGAGAAGCTTGTTACTAGTTATTTGGTGCATGCACACAGCTTATACACTTGTTCAGTATAAGCTGTGGAGAAAAATATCATTGCTTGTGTTCTGCTTGCAAATTTGCAGTGGCCTGACTTTTGTTGGTGGTGGACGGTGCGGATGAGCCCCCAGGGCTGCCGCATTCTGTACATCCGCCCACATCGACATCAACAACATGGGCTTGGGCTTCTTCCCGGTCACCGACCAGCCTCAGCCCTTGGTCAACGCCAGATCAGACGCCACGTCAGATGCGGCAGTTTGTGCATGACACTAGGGCAAGTTCGCTTCCTGCTTCCGGAAAGTGGGGATGACAGCGGCATCCCCCACGGGCAATACTGTACGGGGACAGTGCCTCAATGCCATAAATTTTGCCCGTTCAAGTGCAGGCGTTTACCGAGGACATGCAAGCAATCTCACCACCTGGACCATTTCTGCTGGAACTCCATAGATGCTGGCTACATTTGTTTGCAGAGGGTGTTTTGGAGGACCACAAAGAAAATTTTGGGTGCTTTAGCGCAAGTACGGTAACTCATCGTCATTGAAACGAGTGTGACACTGTACAGTACAAGACGTGTGAATTTCACTGCGCTTCAAAACAAACACCTTCCCCAAGCCCGCTCAAACCTTCCACCCGGTTACCGGGTACTGTAGTACTGCACAACCGCTTCCCACTGGCGCCATGGCCCCAACCAATAACCAGCGTCCAGGGTGGGTAGACAAAGCAAGGCAGGCAAGTCGCGTCGCGTGATTACACATTCTACCTTATTCAAAACCAGATTTGTGAATGAAGCTTCTTTTCACGACAAGTGCAATGGGACTTTATATGACGAGATCAACACACCTCGTCACCACTTGGGTGAAGAGCTCTCTTCAAACAACAACGTATTGAAGTGATCAATTCCCTGGCAAGTTCTGCCAACCTCTCAGAAGGAGGTTTCCACGTTCTCATTTGGGAGTGGATAGTCAAGTTGGTAGGTGGGTTACAACCAACAATCGAGGTTAAACCAAAAGGATTCTACCCCACAGCTTTATAAAAGCTTATCAAACACCCAGTGGAAGTTCTTAAAGTCCTAAATAATCGGTGTTTTGCACCATAATATAACATAGTGTGACATACAAATTCATAATACTATGGTGTAAAATTTTCCTCCAAGTATAGACTTCAGCACAATTGTTTCACAAAGCACGCGACACGGGTTTTTTTTCTAAGGACTAAGGGCGCGTAACTTTTTCACTTTTCATCGTCCGGACGGAGGACCCGTACGGACTTTTGTAGGGTTACGTATTTCGCCTAGTTTCGTTATTGAGTTCGTGAGACCCCTTGCGACATCGCGATCGTCCGTACGAGTTCTGACACTTTTCTGCTTGTCCATCGTCTGTTCTAAACCCTAAACCCTAATCTTTCTGGGAGGCAACTTCCTCGAAGCTTGCTGGAGATTGCATGAGTAATGGTACACCCTCGTTCTCGCTAGACTGACCTCGGTTAGGGGAACTTGCAGGAAGAAACAGCATTGTGGAGAGCAGTTAAAGATGGTGCAATATGGTTCATTGAGACATTTCGAATAAGACAAAATTCGTCTGCCAGACGCCCGCTGGTGAGATGGGTGAGAACGAGGGTGTACCGTCCCAAATGGCATGTTTGATAGAAGGGGATTCTATAGGAGAATCACATAAACAGACTACAATCGAGTAGTGTGTGTGATTAGTAAATGGCGGGGAAGACTAGTTTCTTCTGTGTTGTTTGATTCGGTCGGTGCGCTCTGCTTGCCCCTGCGCTCTGCTTGCATCTGCCGCGCGCTGAGTTGTTGCATTGGGTGGCTGGCCTTGCTCGTCTCGTCCTGGGGAGCCAGACCAGATCACTCAATCCAAAGCAAGGACCAGAAGACCACCCACGGTTTCTTTCGTCATTGCCACCACCATCCCTGCATACCATTGGCTTGGCAGGCTATCGTACAAAACCACCACAACTACCGCCACACAATCGCCACCGTTATGGTACCATCAAAACCGTACCCAACCCAGCCTTGCCAATCTTGCCCCACCCCCCCCTCCTTCTTGCTCGTCGCCAATTCCTCGCCCTCGATCCTGTGTCATCCAGCCTAGAAAGCCAGCCTCCTCGCCATCACGCATTTCTGGTTTCCTGGTCTTAGTTACGTCAGCAATTCGACTTCCTTCGCAACCATTGATACGCACTCTTTTATACGACCAGTAGTTTTAAGTCGCATTTCGTTATACGGCTAGTCGCGTCACGCTTCATACCGTGAATGCCGCGGCGTGTCAGCAACAAATCCGCCTTTCCTTCACCACGTGGCGCATCATGGCAGCCATGGCGGTTCTATCCCCATGGCGCCCCGCGTCGCTGCCCACAGTGGCTCTCCTACTCTCCTCAATCGTCCTCGCTGTCTCTCTCCAAGGTATCCCATTGTCATCGCGCGAAACGGCCCGCTCCTGAGTTTCTCGACATAGTGAGACACCTCCTGCGGTTTTATCACCACCTGCGGTTCTCACCATCTGCGACCTCTGACGAACTTTCTTGAAAAGCCCGCGATTCGCACCGCAGTAGTAGCGAATTGGCGATTTACCGCGGCGGATCAGAACCGATTGTAGCATGTCCGAACCAAAGTGAGGGGAGGCTGGGAGAGAGTGCGTTGCGGTATTGCCGTGGCTTTCCTTACTTGGTCGAGTGCTAATCTAGACCCTCCCATATCCACCGCTCACGCTCTAACGATGCATCTCTTTCCACCCTTTCTCTTTTCCCGCTCCCCGACCTTTCTTCCGCCCCCCACTTGCTTCTGTTTCCGACTCGGATATATCCCGCACCATTACCTCCCCGCGCCCGCTTCCAGTCCCCAATCCTGCAGCAGATTCCTCCCTCTACGTAGTTCAGTTGCGCTCCGCGCCGGCCGTTGCCGTATATCATGGCGGCTTTCCCGGGTTTCCCGGCACCGCCGCCGTCCGAAACCCCGCATCCCAAGTCGCGAATGCCGCCGGCCGCCTGTTTTCGCGGCGGCCGCGGGTGAATTTGAAGATGCCGCACGTGCGCGCGTTTACGGAGATGCTCAAACGGCAGCAGCGGCGGGTGGCGCGGGATGTGGGGATCGGCGCGAGCCGCCTCTTGTACAGGTGCGCGACCGCGGGGAAGGTTCGACCGCCGCAAGTTTGTGCGCGCTCCGTACTCGTCTTCCCGCTCGCTTCCTGCTCACCGCCCGCTTGCCTCCTGCTTGCCTCCCTGCTTGACTCGCTTCCCCACTTTCCGCGCTCTTGCTTGCTCGTGTGCTCTTGCGCGCGTGCCGAACCCTAACCTTCCCCTCTATTCCCTCTCTCGTGACTTCATTCGCCCTCTCTACAGCTACACGCACGTGGCGAACGGGTTCGCGGCGGAGCTGACGGCGGGGGAGGCGCGGCGGATGCGGCGGCACCCCGCGGTGGGCAGCGTGACGCGCAGCGGGCGCTTCCGCCTGCTCACGACGGCGTCGCCCGCGTTCCTGCAGCTGCCGCCGTCGCTGTGGGCCGCGGCGGGCGGGCAGAGCAGCGCGGGCGAGGACGTGGTGGTGGGGGTCGTGGACACCGGCATCTGGCCCGAACACAAGTCCTTCGCTAACGACGTGCGCGCAAGCCTCCTATTTTCCCCTCCCTCCCCCTTTCCTCCCCCTCCTCCTCCCTCTCGCTCGCCTTTCTCCCGGACCCTCCTTCCCTCTCCATCTTCTCCTTTCCGTTTCGCGTTCTCTCTTTTCTCCCCGCCATCTCCGTCCACCTCTCCTCACCCGTATAACCACCCCCTCATCCCTCACTGTCCTCCCCCGGTTTCCCCGCTCCCCACCCCTCTCCGTGCCCCCCTTGCCCCCCCCCTCTCCCCCCCGGACAGTCGTCCTCCGCGGCGTTCCTCTACGGCGGTGCGCCGGAGGGGTGGCAGGGGTCGTGTAAGAAGAGCGCGGACTTCCCCGCGTCCGCGTGCAACGGCAAGATCGTCGGCGCGCAGGTGTTCTACGCGGGCTTCAAGCGCGACTCGCGCGACCGCATGGACTTCACTAAAGACTGGCTCTCGCCGCGCGACGCCGACGGCCATGGCACGTGGTGCTCGGGGTACGCGCGGTGCGGGGAAAGCGGAAGGGAAGAAAATGAAGGGGATGGGAGTGGGATCGTCGGGGGGGAAGGGGGTGGGGGGAGAGGGAGAAGGGGGGAGGAGAAAGCGGACGGCCGCGGCGCCTGTTTGGTGGGGTACGGATTGAAAGGAATACTTGCAGAGGGTGGGTGAGGGTGGGGCCGGATAGCGTGCGGGGAGGTGGGTCGTGGTCATCAATAGCGCGCTCTTGTCCCTCCATGCCCCTGCTCCCACCACTTACCAGCCACATCTGCTCCCTTCCCTCTCCACCATTTTTCCCGCCGTTCTCCCCTCCCTTTCCCTCGCTCTCCCCCCCCTCTCCCCCTCGTTCTTCCCCCTCTCTCTCCCCTCCCGCTCTCTACCCCCCTCCCGCCCTCCCCCCTCGCAGCGCGTCAACGGGCAACGGCAACGTGCAGACGAACACGCTGGGCCCGATCAGCGGCATGGCGCCGCGCGCGCGGGTGGCGATGTACAAGGTGTTTTGGAAGGAGCGCGGCGGGTACATGTACGCCACGTACGCCGACATCTTCGCCGCCGTCAACCGCGCCGTGGCGGACGGCGTGGACGTGCTCAGCCTGTCGCTGGGCGGGTCTGACAGCTCCGCCACCTACTTTGACGACTCCACCTTCATTAATGTCCACGCGGTGCGTCACGTGCTGTGCGAGGTGGCTTTTGAGGCGGCTCGGAAGTCACGTGCTGAGCTGAGCGTGTTGCTGGGCAGGCGGGTCGGACAGCTCCGTGGCTTACTTGGACGGCTAGTGGGTGGGACGGTCACAGGAACGCCTGCTTGGATGGCAACTGCGCTAGTGGAGGGTACTACAACCCGCGGCAACACGGATTCCGTCTCATCAACCCAGGCCTTGCTTGATTATATCCTGTGTGCGTGCGCTGCATTTCGCTACCAGCTGTGCGTGCAATCGAGCCATATCCCGCTCCCTTTCCTCTCCTACCAGCTCGCTCCTCTCGTGCTCTCACAAATCTCTTCAACTCAGTCCCGCTCACCGACACCTCTCCTCCCTTCCCCCCTCCTCCCCTCCCTCCCTTCCTCCCCTCCCTCCCTTCCTCCCTCCCTCCCTTTTCACCCTACTACCTTCCTTCTCTGCGTGCAGGCAGGTGTAGTGGTAGCTTTCGCAGCGGGCAATGCGGGCAGTCCGTGGCGAGTGGGCATGGGGTACCGCACTCTGGATAACTTCTCACCGTGGTACATCACGGTTGGCGCCAGGTGCGTGCGTCTCACACTGCATGCGCGTATTACCTGCCTGCTCGCTCTCTGCATGCGCCTGCTGTCTGCTGTTTACCGTCCCCTTTCCTCTCTTCCACCCCCCTTTTTTTTACTCTCGCACTCGTTGCTAGCCCTGCATCCTCCTGCTGTCTTTACAGCCATGCAGTTTCACATTGCTTGCACGCCGTTCGCCGTTGTCTATGTGACTCTTGCCTAGTTCCTCCTTACTGCCTTTCTCACACTTTTTGTGTGCCTGATTGCTTTCTGGCCGCTTCCTCTGGCGTCCGTGCATGCTGGCTTCCCTGCTTGCTTGCATGCTTGCTTCTTGGCTTTCCCTGCACCCATGCTCTCTTCTCCCCAACAACAGCACGATCAGCCGATTCTCAACAATGACAGGAGCTGCCGTATCTTCATCCTCGTCGTCATCATCGCCTGTCAAACCGACCGAAACAGCAACATCGCCCAACGAAGCACCAATAGTGGCGGGCTTCTCATCAACAGGCCCGCTCGTCGCCCCTCTTCTCAACCCCGAATCCCCGAAGCCCACCAACGACATCCTCAAGCCAGACATCCTCGCGCCTGGCGTGTCCCTCTGGGCGGCTACTGCTGGGTCGTCTCTGACCGACACCACGAGTCGATACTCGCGGCTCTCAGGAACCTCGATGGCCACGCCTCACATCGCAGGGATTGCTGCGCTGCTCGTGCAGCGAAACCCCGAGTGGACTCCCGCCCAGATCATTTCCGCTATGATGACGACTGCCACAGTGCGGAACAACAAGGGGACGCTGATTCGGAACTCCAACGGGGACATCGCGACACCCTGGGAGACGGGCGCGGGGCATGTGAATCCGATGAAGCTTCTAGATCCTGGATTGACTTATGATGCCAACGAAACGGATTTCCGGAATTTTCTCGCTGGGCAGGCGCTCACCCGAGCGAAGAAATTGTTCAAAGGGATTACTTTGCAGTCCATCAAGGCTTATAACCTCAATAGGCCTTCGATCGCTGTTGGACGGCTTGCTGGTACAGTAACCGTTCAGCGGCGTGTTACAAATGTGGCTGATACAGCTTCGACATACACAGCAGCGGTTGCAGGCATGGACGGGGTTTCGGTCACGGTGAAACCACCAAGTTTCACCATAGAGCCGGGTAAAACAGTGAGTTACAATGTTACTCTGACTGCTCTGCGTTCGTCGTTAACTTATTCATATGGGAGCCTCACCTGGACTGATGAGCTGGGGCACTCTGTAAGGTCGCCACTGGTTGTGCAACCAATAAGGAGATGAGTGGTGGTGTGGGGGACTGAGATGAGAAGCGTGGAGTACCGTAGTGTGGGATGAGACAGAAGGGGTTGGAAGATGGATGGAAGGGAGAGGAGGGTTGAACGTGGGTGACGCAGCATGGATGCGGAGCAAAGTTGGCTTGGCAATAAGAACCCATTCAGTTCTGACGTTGGGGTGAGGTTTGGGGGGGTGAATGGGCTTTATTGATGTGCTGAAGAATGAGGCATGGTGGTGGTGGTGATGGCTTTCTGGTTTTTGTGTAGCTGATTGGTTCCAGATAGTCACAGGCTCTGTGACTGCTGGCAAAGTGTTGCTGCTATGTTGGCACGACAAGTAGTTCTGTCGCAGCCGGTAGGGGCACTTGCGGTACTAGTTGTACAAGGATGCCTTGCCGGGGGTGTACCTGCTGTGATAGGATCATACGATTACACCATTATAATGTGTACAAAATTTGTCATGCTACGTAACAATGAGTTCCAGCTTGATAAGTCAATGCTTGCACCTTTTGAGAGGTCTCATTCGTGTAGAATGCGCCCCCACTCACTTTCCGCCAAGCCAATTTGTTGGGCACTCATTGTCTTCTACCCCTCCCGTGGCCTTTGTTTTAGGAAGCGTCACTATGTTAGATCCCAGCAGCAATCCTACGCAGGATCGTTCTATAGCGAGGATTAATAAGGGATATAGGGTATCGTGATCCAGCACACAATCCAGGGCAACAGTGATCATCGCAAGCGACTCCCACCATGCTAATCTGCGACTCGCAATCCAGGGGAGGTTTCAGGTGGCCACGTCATCCAAATGCTTGTCTGATGCATTTGATTGGCGGATATCTAAACCCAGTCTCGCACAGACTCCAGCGCGTGTCGAAGCTAGGGGGCGACGTCAGGTTGTACTTCTTCTTGTAGGCCTCGTGCGGTGAACTTCCTTCTGTCACGGTGCAATACGGTAAAGCTGGAAAACCACTTTTCACCGTGTAGAACCGTCTTGAACCACGATAGACAAACTGTAAATCTGTGACAATTATATAACCTGACGTCACCGTAAACCTTAGGGCGACGTCAGGTTATACAGTTCTCGCGGGCTCACAGTTCTTGTATCGCTGTTCAAGACGGTCTAACACGGTGAAAAACGATTCTCGAAGTTTACCGCTCTGCACCGTGTTGAAACAAAGATAACCGTAGTAGGCGTACAAAAAGTTGTACAACCTGACGTCGCCCTTACAATTTCCAGCGGATGCCCAACGCATTCAAACCCACCACTCCCATTTCCCATGGCCGTCATTCGCGCTGCGGCGCCAGGCAGGCATGAGTCCGACTCGGTGGAATGGACCCAGTCACCGCAAATGTCGCCTGTAAATTTGAGTTTCTTGGAGCCTAGTACTACATCTCGGAGCCAAGATCTTGGTTTCCCCCCTCGCGTATTTTAATGCAAGGGTTTTCCTTCGCAGATATCATCGACGACGAGTTGAGCATTTTCGCTCATGAGAGTTTCTGGCCTGCTACTATTTTCCGTCTAAACTACTCAGAATGGCTCGTCATCCGGAACCAATCACAGCACGGCAGCACATGATTCCCTTCGTCGTCGCATCGCTAGTTCTTTCGATAATCTGCGGTCCCGCGATGATCGCAGCGTCTGAACTGGAAGATGCCATAAAAACGGCGAACCTGGTAGGGGTGATTCAATCACCACATCGATCATCTTTCGTTGGTTCATTTGTTTAGGGTGATTGGCTGTTGGACGGGCCAGAGGAAGGATTGTGTTGTGAACGGCGCCGACATTCGCAGTGCCTGCTCCTACTAATGAACGTTTTCGTCCACCGTGGTGACCATGCTGTTTGCGTTGCGTTGTGTCCACGTGGCGTGAATACAAGGAGGAGGTACCACGGAGCTCGTTCTCAAATCCAACGTGCATCTCACAGCGTGAGTTCCGTTCGCCATCAATCCACCTTCTGCACGTTTCTCATCTCGCGACGAGTGCGTGTGCCACCTCATGCCGCGTGCGTCATGCCGCCCGGTACCGACTGCATCCCCACTACTTGCTCATTAGGCATGCTCTATCCTACCATCTGCATTACTAGCCCATGATTTCGAATCCCCTCTCGCTCGCCTCCCAACGCTTTCCCCCCACCACCCCATCTCTCCCTCTTTCCCCTTTTCCTCCCCTCAGCCCCCTCCCCGCACTCGAAGGATTTGCCAGGCTAACCATCACGGGCGCATGTGCCGTCGACAGGTTGGTAACAGGGTTACCGGGTGGGTAGCAGCCTGCAATCATTGCAAGCTCACAACCTTTTCAGGCTAAGCCACACCTGCAACGACAATTTGAGGCGTCTCAGAAGCCACACTTTCGACGCTCCTGTACTTGCATTGCTGTCCATGCTCGCCTCGTCATCTTATCCCTTCAATATTATCGACCACTCTGCACTGCCATCAAGGATTGTCGTCCCTCGCAGTCCAGTCACAACTACCAAAGTAGTTGCAGCGACCATCGCCATCGCCATCGCCATGGTCATCGTTTTCATCCTTCTCCCTTCTCCTCCTCTCCCCGACCCGCTCCATTCCGTCGATCTTAATCGCACACCCACTCTCTTCCCTCTCTCCACACCAGGTGTATCATCAGCGGAAATAACGCCTTCCCCATATTCACCTCCCCGTCGTCCGGCTCCACTGGGGGAATACTGAACCTGCGCAACCTCACCTTCCAGGAGGCGTCTTTGTGAACGTGCGGACGAGGATCAACGCGACTCAATGCGGATTCGTCAACAACAAGGGTCCTAGCAACGGCGGAGGGGTGCTCAGGTGAGAGTGTGTATCGCGCAGGGGAGCATGCTACATTGATGAATACCAAGTGCTCTTTCAGTCAACTCTAAATATCTCGTCTGCACTGCACCTTACACGGCAGCTTGAAAGCAAACCTTGATTGATGGCCGCCCTACTCCCTAACACACTCTCCGTCGCCCCGCACCCCCCCCAACTCACCAGTGAGTCTTACTCGGTGACAAAAAGTGTTTCCCTGCGCTACTTCTCCCTCTGCATCTTCTACAACAACACGACGCCCACTGGGGGGGGTGGCGCCTTGAGCATCAACTCGGGGTACCCCCAAGGCCAGGGGCCCGCGCTGACAATTACGGGCAGCTACTTCAGGAACAACAGCGCGCCCAAGGGGCAAGGAGGGGTGATTAGGGTGGAGGGGACTGGCAAAGTTGTGTTCAAGTCATGCTTGTTCGATGGGAACAGCGCTGGTGAGTGTGTGTGAGTGTGCGTGCGTGTTCGTGCGTGTGCATGCGTGTGCGTGCGTGTGCAAGGTTTCTGTGCACCGTTGAGTCTTCTCAGAAGTCAATTTCGAGGGAGTGAAATCCCGCACCTCCCCTCCCTCCATCCGTGGCACCTCACTTGCAGTTCCTTCTCCTCGGTCCGTGATGGGATGTTGTTGTTGCCGCGCCAAGCAAGGGTCTCGCTGCTTTTGTTTCCCACTTCCCCTTCCTTTCAGGGCCTTGCACCTTCACACCCGCTTTTCCTCATTGGCCCTTTCAACTTAACCATCGCCCTTACTCCCATCCCACCCTCCCCTCCCGCCCCTCCATCCATCCAGGTGTGTCAGGGGGGGCCATCTACTCCAACGGCACCTCCCTCACTATCGACCACGTCTCCTTCAGGGACAACAAGGCTATTGGCGTTCCCCCTACCACCACCTGTGGCATGGGCGGCGTTCTATTCGCAGTCTCAGGGCTCTACAGCATGGTGTATCTCCGCTTCTGCGCGTCTTCCTTCTCGGGCAACACGGGCTGCGTTGAGTCTGTCAGCACGCTGTATCTGCTGACAGTTCCAGGCGGCTCAAAGTTTCCAGCGTCTGTGGTTTTTTGCAATGGGACCAGCAAGCCGGCTGGGTTGCTCGTGCCCTCAAGTGGGTGGCGCGAGTTGAGCAGTTGCACTTCCAGGTGAGGGAAAGGGCTGGCTGGGTAAATGGGGTGGAGTGGGTGGGGAGATAGAGGGGGAGTGCTGTGAACAGTGGGAGTGTTGGGGGCAGGCCAGGTGGGATAATGGTGAGTGGGGGGCGGATGGGAAGTTGATGCACTGGAAGGTGGGGTAGTGTCGGTGGGCGAGGGAGGGGAGAGCATTGTGAGAAGAATGGACAGAGATCTTGGAGCAAATGCACAGTCAGGTGAGAAAGTGTGTGTGCGTGAAGGTGTGAGGAAGAGGGGAAGGAGCAAGTGAGGGAGTACAAGAGCTCGAGTGAATGGAAAAAAGAAAAATGATGTAGCAGGGGCTGCAGTGAAGGCAGCAGCATGGCTGTTTGCTTGCTGTCTGCGCTCCCTTCCACGTCTCCCTCAAGTGGCTCTTGGTCTTCTTTTCTCCTCTCGTCCTTCCTCCCCGCTGCCCTCCTCTCTCCACCCTCCCCACCCCACTGGTTTCTCGTTTCTCCCCACCCCCTCTGCTTTCTCTTGTCTTCCTTCTGCCCCATACTCCACCTTTCTCCCTCCCCACGTTCCCTGTTTCTCCCTCCATGGGCACCGACACGTGATGCCTGAATGTCAACACTCAGGCACCACACTACCAACTTGACTTGCCCTTCTCGCCTCTCCCCCTTTTCCTTCGTCCAAGCAGCACCTGTGCTTAGTAGGGTGGTTCGCAGCTGCCATGCGAGCGCCGATCGGAACGGCGGCTGCCACACGGAACGGCAAACTGCATGGTGGCTATGACCTGACAGTGCTGAATTATGGTGGAGAACGGAGGAGCAATGGTAACGAGGAGTGCAAGAAGAGAATAACCTGGAGAAGGGAAAGGAAACGGCTTATAATGAGTAAGAAGCCTAGTTTTGATGTGCAGCGAAGCTCGAGACGAGAACCTTCGCTGCTGGAAATGGGACAACCACAACGGCACCGTATTGTATAGATAATGTTGCTGCGTGCTTCTATATTTTTTGTCCTGCTTTGTTTTGTCATGTACATATTCTGTAAAAGTCCTGTTGCAAATTCCAGATTCTCAGTGCGGAAACCTGTCAACATGCAAAGTAGCCGGATGGGTACCATTTCAAAGTACCAGCTGGAATCATAGCCTCGTTATAAGCACATTAGGATTCGTTAGTAGCACAATTACTGTACTCTCCCGGACTAAACACCCGCCAAAATGTGCACCCCCCGGGTAGCTTGTGCGGGGTTGGTGCTTTTGGCGACCTCGTTTGTACTGTACCCCCATTTCTCGGTTATTTTTTTACAACACCCCCATTTTCTTGCAGATTCCTTACCGTCATACCCCGGATATAAGCGCCACCCTCGGATAAGCGCCTGGCGCTTTTAATTGGCGCATATCGCTTATATCCGGTGTGTCAAATGTTGGTAGCCTGTAGTGAGATGTGTCTTAGGGGGTACGTATGTTAGGGTTTGCTACTTGTACCCCAACCACCATCAATGAAACATCACTTCCGATTTTAACATGGTATCACCTAGGTTAGGATCCTGTAGGATCCCGTTCCTCCCGACCTCGTTCGTATCGCCCGAGCCTGTCTCCCTCTCTCGTATTACTTACGCACGTCTTGCCCGAGCCTAGCGCCGGCCCGCTCTCGTCCCGTTCCTTCGTTACCGCCCGTTCCGCCGATCCCCTACTCGAGTAGCGTAGCGACCTTCCTCCCCCCTGCTGGCCCGTCGCGTTTTCCCCCCTCCGAGGCCCGTCGAGTCGCGTTTTTTTTTTTCCCCCCCGCTGCCCGTCGAGTCGCGTTTTTCCCCCCGCTGCCCGTCGAGTCGCGTTTCCCCCCCTGCTGCCCGTCGAATCGAGCTCTCCCCGCCTGTCGTCCCGTCGCCCGTCCCCCCCTTACGCGCGCCACCGCTGCGCCTTCCCCCGTCGCCCGCCGCAGCCTGCGCCCGTCGCCGCGGCGCCCGCCTTCGCTGCTCGTCGCGTCGCGCGCGCGACTGCCCTTAGCCCCCGCGCGGCTCCCCCTTAACGCCCGCCCCCCGCGCCCGCGCGGCTGCCCTTGGCCCCCCCGCGCGGCTGCCCCTTAACGCCCGCCCCCGCGCCCGCGCGGCTGCCCTTAGCCCCCGTGCGGCTGCCCCTTAACGCCCCCCCGTTTAGCTGCGCCTCTGCCTCGTTTAGGGTTTCCCGCTTCGCCCTTTGCCCGCCCGATTTTCGCCACGCCATCTCGTTTAGGGTTTCCTGCCTCCGCTTTTCCGTCGGTTTTAACGATGGCGACTCCGCGTGTTCTTCGCTTCGACGCTGACGGTAGACCCCTTGACTTTTCGCTCTGGCTTCTGCGCGCTCGCCGTCAGTTAGAGAGTCAGGTCCAGTCAGGCGAGACCCTCTGGGCGCACGCTGCTGGTGCCCTCCCTGCGCCCCCCGACCCTACGCCTTTAGGTCCTGCCCCTGACGACGCCGCTAGAGCTCGCTTCGCTAGCCAGCGCGCTGACCTGACAGCTTGGACGTCGCGTGACGCTGCGGCCTGCATCGCGCTCAGCACCCTTCTCCCTGAGTCTGAGGAGGCTCACTTTGCTCAGGTTCGCACTGCTGCTGAGTACCTGACTGCGATTAAGGCCCGCTACTCCACTCCTGCTGCTGTCTCTCTTGGCCGCCTTTTCCTCCCGTTCCTGTTCCCTGATCTCGCCTCATTTGAGCGCTCTGCTGACTTGATTGCTCACCTCCGCTCGCTCGACTCTAGTTACCGCGCTGCTTGCACTGAGGCCCAGCTCGCACTGCTTCCTCCTCCCATGGCGATTACTATCTATTTTATCGCCACCAGCCTCCCCGACCGCCTTGCCTCCGTTCGTGACGCGCTTCTCCTGAAGCACCCTAGCGAGCTCACTATTGACGTCCTTGAGTCTGCTCTCAAGGACGTCGAGAGCAACCTCCGCTCCGTCGCCGCTGCCTCTGGTGCTGTGCCCCCTCCGCTCTTCCACGGGTGCACAGTTCCGCAGTTGCCCACCTTTACTGCCTCTCTCGCCACTGCCGCTACTGACGCGACCGCAGCTGCTGTTACGACTTCGTCGCGGTCCCGCGGTAGGGGTGGCAAGAGGGGCGGTGCTGGCGGCGGCGTTGGTGGAGGCGGAGGTAGTGGGGGTGGCGTTGCGACTGGCGGTGGTGGGAGTGCAGGGCCTGGAGAGACGTCTCGTGCAGCGACCGGTGACTCCACTGCGACTGCTGGTGGTGGCGACGCCCGCGTTCGTCAGTCGCCCCCTGTACTGCCAGCCCCGGTGGGTGGAGCAGCGGCGTGGTTCCTGGCCCAGCGTCAGCAGCAGCTTCAGCAGCAGCAGCAGCCCCTCTCCTCCCAGCAGCCTCCGCAGCAGCAGCGGCCGCAGCTGGCTTCGGGGTCGGGGCCGCGTCAGCCGCAGCGTGGTGCTGTTTACCCTCCCTGCGCCTATCAGGTTCTGACAGGTGCTCGCCGGGGCCACCCTTGTGGCCGCCTTCACCCCCCTGGTCAGTGTTTTGCTCAGCTCACTGACACGGTTCGTTTGGTTTACGGGGTTGGCGGTCCTGCCCCTGACTGGTTTCCCCTTGTTCAGCGTTACGGTTCCGCTCTGTGGGACATGTCTGCTGAGCAGTTAGCTGATCTGATTGGAACTCCTCATGCTATGTATGCTGTTGTTGACTCTAGTGTTTCTGACTCTGTTTACTCTGGTGTTGTTAGCTTAGGTACTAGCCTTGCTCAGTTGCCTGTTGCTAGTGTAGGTTCTTGTGTAGACACTAGTCCAGCGGCTACCTCGGAGGACACTTCACTGTCTTTCACGCTGGACTCTGGAGCCTCGCACTGCTTCTTTCGTGACAGCACGACACTTACGCCACTTCCTGCGCCTGTCTCTGTGGCGTTGGCTGATCCCACCTCGGGACCAGTCACTGCGCGTCACACTACCACTTTGCCGTGTCCTGCTGCTCCCTCCGGGTCCCTCACTGGGTTTCATGTCCCCTCGTTCTCCCGGAACTTGGTGGGTGTGCGACCCCTCGTGAGTCAGCACGTGGGTGTGTGGTTTGAGCCTTCTGGGGAGACTGCGGTGTGTGTTGACGGTGACTCTTACCAGCCTCTGGCCACCTTTGCTGCTGAGCCGGGTTCCGGTCTCTACACTCTTCACACTGGCCCGCGCGCACGGGAGCGGACGCAGCAACAGCAGCAGCAGCAGCGGCAGCAGCAGCAGCAGCAGCGGCGGCAGCAGCAGCAGCAGCAGCAGCCGCAGCGGCCGCCGTCGCAGCAGCCCCTACTCCCAGTTCCTGTCCCTCCCCCTAGTCTCCTCCCTTCGTCTCGCCAGGTGGTTCCGTCCCCTCAGGTTGTCGCTGTCAAAAGAGTAAGCATAAGCAGGAGCCATAGCTAGGAGAACCCTAGCTAGGCAAGAGAAAGTTTAGGCAAAGAGGGGGTTCACTAGCAGCAATGAGGATACATATAGCAAACCCTAGATGGGTTGTACTCGCTATAGAGCACCCCACTACAGGCTAGAGAATAACATTCTGACACACCCCCATAGCCAAAGTGGGGTGTAATCAGTACAATGAGCAAGCAGGTAGAAAGCAGGTTCACAAGTGCAAGCAAAGCTAGAGGCATTCACAAAGGGCAAGTGAGGAGGAGGAGGAACTGTGGAAGGAGAGAAGATGAGAGGCGACGGCTGAAGCTGCAGACACACGGGCAACAGGAGTCAAACTGGCACAGTGGCTACCGGAACAGCGCCCCGGACTACAGGAGTAACTGGCTCCGCGGCTAAGAAGAGCGGCAGACGAGCAACGGACCCACGGGCGACTGGCGCAGCTGGCTACGACTGGGCTACCGGAACAGCGCCCCGGACTACAGGTGCTGCTGACGACAAGACGGCAGCCTCCGCTCAACCTCCCCCGACCGTCCCACGCCCCTCTCACACACCCCCTGCTGACACCCTAGCTCCACTTCCACGGCACCCCCCTTAAACCCTAAACCTCGGCTCCCACACATCCACCCCCCTCAGCGGCAGCTGCAGTAGTGGGAGACGGAGGAGGAG